AAATTTTTTTCATAATTTTTATACGAATTGAAACATTTTCCAGAAATATTCAGAAATATTCGGAAAGTTTACATCTTCTTTCAGAATTTTTCATACAAGTGAATTCTGAAATATTTTGAAATTTCTCATCTCATAATTTAAAAAAATATTTAAAAATTTTTTAGATTTTATAACATTTTATCAAAAATTATATTTACAAAAAATCTTAGAAATCTTAGAAATCTCTCTACGATATTTCATAATTAACGTATATGAAAAATTCTGAGAAAAGATGTAGATTTTCTGAGAAATTTCAATTCGTATAAAAAAAATGTGAAAAAATTATGAAAATATATAAAATTTCTGAAAAATTAATGCAGAAATTCTGAAAAATTATATGAAAAATTCTGAAAAAAATTTTCACCAGGGACAATATCAAATATGTACGTCAAATATATATATGTACATTTGTTCATCAATGTTTCGAAATACGGAGTCTGCCCACATGCTATTGCTTTTACCAAGTATTGAATCCCAGAATTCTTTTGTAATCATGTCTATGACTATACATTTGAATCTGTAAGTGCATATGCAATAAATACTAAATAAAAAAATGTGTATTTATTTAATTAGTAGGTATACAGTTAAAATTCCATTTGAACACATTATTTTATGATTGCACTGTAAAAAATAAAATGTTAATTTTAACATTAAACTCAAAGATGTATAGTGAACTTTCTGAGACATGCAAAAATATTAAAATTAACATTTTTGTGTTAATTTTAATATTTCTTTTTATTTATTAAAAGGCTTTTATTATTTAAATGCCTTAAAAATCGAATATTAGGTTCCAACTATTTACTAACTAATACTATTACTACTATAATACTAATACTATTTACTAATTAAGAATGATGCTAATTACTCAAATATAAAAATTATTTATCACTACTTAGTACTTAAACGATAACAAATATAAATTACCTGACCTTAATGTAGATCAAATTTAATTGTGTAATTCAATTGTTTATAAGACTTATAAAACACACATTTCAAATATTGGACAAACGGACTTTTAATAATTTTTATGATAAATAAATGTTAAATACTTAATTTATAATATAAACAACCAAAAGAAATATACAAATATTCTTACTAATTACTATATTGGATATTATTTTCCGATTTTTCTGTTTGTAAATGTGCATCAATCTGCTCAGAAGCCGAATCCATGTTATCTGTCATGTTACATTACACAGTATTGTCAGTATCTTGTGTAATGTGTAAGACTAAATTTGATATAATATGTCACATCGTAGAGAAAGAGAAAGTCGAAGATTGACGTGTGAGAGTTGTTATAATATTGATAAAAATATTGGTATAAAAAATATGTTTAAATTCGCCAGCTAATAGTATCGATACATTTGTATCGTTGCAGTTTTACATACATACCTATTCTGCAATCTATCAATCATAAAATAATAAAAACAGGTATTGACAATAATTAATTAATATCATAACAATAATAGCCAATTGAGTAGCCTATTGGCAAAAATCATTATCTTGAAATTTTTTAAAAATAAAAGAACTTGTATAATTTTTCTTATTTAAGATGTCAATAAAATTTTTTATAAATTAAGAAAAATTTATTGTTTTAGCTAATAAAACGTGTATAATATAATATAAAAAATACAATTTTTATTTATTAAAAGAGAATGTTCTTGACTGGTTTTACAGCTGTAGAAAAAAGAAGGGTTTTAGCAGATTTTAGGACAAAATATTCATCATTTTTATTCAATATGACTGATGGATATAATCTTATTTGCAACAGTAGGAATTTGAGAATTTAACTTTTTTTGCACTTTTGTCGCTACAATATAATTTAACTTCTTTCATTAATTAGATTTTTCTCTCATTCTTCTCCCTTAATTTTATAGGGTTCGTAATTGTTTCAGCACATTTTTATAACGTTCAATTCGTAATCAGGGAACTAAAGAATCCAGAATTTGTTTATATTTTTGATATATAGAATAAAGCTTTGAATATAAGTTATTAATTTCTAAAGGTTTAATATTTAATTTTTTCTTTTTATATATCTTAACAAATATGAGTGTAATGATTTCAAAATAATTTGTTAGACTATCAAAATTTGATTATTAAAATTTTACACTGTAATGGTAGATTAGAATCCTCTCAACGCAACTCTAACGAAAAAGGCATTCATTCGACAAATCATTCGTATCTTTTAATGTCTTGAATTTTTCTCGTGTAACTTTTCGTGAAAATTGCACAAATAAGCGAGAAACATTTACAATCGTCCCTCTAGTAACATATGTTACTATCTGGTCAATTCGCACATGATTTACCACAAATATCAGACTTGAAGTTAAAAATTCAACATAATCATCACCAGAAGGTGGATTTTGTTTGTTTCGGTAGAACAAATTATTGACAGTGCACTCAAATGTACGTGAATATTCTTCGATAACATGAATCCGTGCAAATAGACGACACGTGTTCTTGACATTTTTCGTTCCCGAAGTTTATATATAGGCGCCGGTCTTATATTATTTACCGTAGAATCGCGCGCAATCAAATCTCGGCATTTGTAACGTGGTAATACATAAAACGGTCATTCCGGAACATTCCAAAATCCTGCATAATAGAATTTAATAATACCGTAAATTATTGTTTCTATATTAAGTTAATATAGAACAAATGTTCTGCAGTATCAATGTAAAGACAAGATAAATGTAAAGACAAAAAATTGCAAATGCACCACTGTGAAGCATGAACACGCTTGAGTACGAACATACTTCTTACGACAAAAGAATGAAGAGCGAGTAGCAAAAGTTAATATAATAAGAATTACGTAACGTCTGAAAATAACTGAATCTAATGACTAATTTGAATTTTTATAAAATAAAAGGAATATTTTATAATAAATTATACTCGTATTTTTAATAATAATTGAAATATGAAATATAAATAATTATTCAATATAACAAACATTGATTTAATTTAAGTTAACATGATTGAAGAAAAAAATTCCACACGAATCACATTTATTAATACCTCTATTTTCGTTTTATTGATATGATCTATACAAACATATCCAGTATTAAATGCACACTTTTTGATAATTTCACCTATTAGGCACCGTATGCTTTTTTTCATATTAAAACAAGATATTTGTTTAATAAAATGCATAATGCACGCGATTGTTGCTTACATATAAATTTTTTTTTATTATTTATTTTTACTTTTATTATTTATTTAACATACTATTTCTCTAACTAGCCTAATTTATAATTTTAATAAAATAGAAATGAGATAAATGAGTTATTTCTTTTTTCTAAGGGATTCTTATAGGAGAAAATTATCAAGATTTAATTCGTAAAAGAGACAATGAAGTCATTATAATAAAAAAAAATCAATTCTTGCGTTTCGTAGTTTCGTAATTTTGTTCGTTGAAATTCTTTTCCAAGTATCCCGTTAACGCAGTACTGGTTTCTATAGGGATATATCTGACATTATCAGTTGATTAGCGTATATGACATATGGTCACCGTTGATTTTATTAGATTAGCTGCAACTTATTTTTTCAGCCATTGTATATGAGTATAAGATAACCACAAGACTGCGAACTTTCACAACGAAATATTGTAAGTAATAAAAACATAATCCATTACATATATTATTTCTTATGCAAATGACATTCAATTGAAGATATTAATATTAAAATATTGTAATATTAAAATATTTATATATAAAATTTAATATAATTTATATAAATAATTTTTTTTTATTAATATATAAAAGATTGTATTTTCTTAAAATACAATTATATATTTTTTTAAAACATCTTACACTCATTTCTAAAATGGAAAACGCCTGTTTATAGTTGACCAGTTATACTTTACGGACAAGCGGTATTTAAAAGTATCTAAACATTACAGAAAGCATAATAATTACTAATAATATTTATACAATTTTTTTCTTTGCACCATTAATGATGAAAAGTGTTAAAATATTTATTCTTGATAAATAATTTTTAAAATAATTTTCAACTTAGAAATAAAAAAATATTTTTAAGCATTTATAAATAATAAAGAAATTATGATTTATTAAAAGCTTATAATTTTTCTTTAAGAAACTTATCAGCATGTAAACTTTAATTTTGTCTTTTTTTATAATATGTAATGTGCATTTTTTATACGCAAGTGTAGTAAAAACACATTCGAGAATTGATTGTAAATTCTGCAAGAAACGTTTATATATAATAATGATAATCTCAAAGCAGTGTAATCATCCTAAAAACCTCTAATCTTCTAACAAGGCGGCTACATCGCCGTGGCACGCGTCCAATGCATACACGAGGCGAGGCGAGGAGAACACCAGACGTACCCCTCTATGGTGATTATGGGGTGAACTCTCTCGGTGCCCCATAGAGCCTTACAGTGGCCCAGACCTCGTGGAGGGGACGAAATACCCCCGGGACGGTATATATGTTCTAAGAGCCCCTTGCCACATGCACAGTACCAAATTGTACCCCGCCTAGTCCACTCGTCGGTGAATTCTTATTTTCTCGTTCCAATTGTCGTTATGTGATATGAATTTCTATTAATGTTCGTTCTTACCTTCCGAGAGTGCTCTTTCTGTGTTGTGTCATTTCGAGAAATTCGTTTTACTTCTAATTTACTAAAAGTTGAAGATATTTGGTAAACCACAAGTTTGGATTTTGACATGGTACGTGAAAATGTATTCTGCAAAATTTTTTAAAGCAGCTCGATAAAAAAAAACGTTAAAATTCTTCTCCGAGATTGTAAAAAGGTATAACTTAATTTAGAAATTTTAAAAACTAGGAACTAAAATACAATTAAATAAAAAAGTATATTTTAAAAAATATTTTATTTTTTTAAATAAATATCTTGATTATAATAATTTATATATGCAGAAGATACAAAAGCAGAAGTGTAAAATTGTTTCATTGCTTTGCGTTACAGCAAGATACAGCAATGTCGTCAGAGTACTCATTCTGCAGCGAGGGTGGCTTCGACGAACTTTCGAGTTCCTCCGATTCTGGTTTCGATGTTAGCTTCGAATCACCAAAACACGAAATACCACCTGACACTCTCTTCCCTCCAGCTAAAGAAGTGAAGCGCAAAAAAACGCGAAATACTCGTTGCAAAAGTCCCACACAGGTATATAAATCAATGAGGGCTCTCAATACTTAATCTATCTATAAAAAATTTTTACATTAAATACAATTAAATACAATTTTTCAAAAAATTTTCTAAACAACAAAAATTTAAAAGTTTATTTAAAATACACTTAAATATGCAAATATTTTTTAGATATTATTATGATAAAATAATTTTAATTCTTTGAATTTCTTTTAAATGCTTTTCAGTTTTCTGCATTCAGTTCTTTTAACTTTAGCCTTTCTTCCTCGCTTCTGCTTTTTAGTATAAATTATTAAAAATTTTTTTTTAACAATAAAATTTAAATGAAATTGTAAAGATTTAATACGAAAGTCTATTGAATTTTCTGACTTAATATATTTGACTTAATAATTAAGTTGGGAGACGGGAGAGTGGCTTAGATGTAGACGCTAATTTTTTGCAAAAGAAAAAATTCTATAAAATTCTATAAAATTCTTTAAAAAAGAAAAATTAAATTTTATTTATGTTTCTTTTAATTTTCTTACTTGTAATTGATCAATCTAATTAGAGATTTTATCTATCTGCTTGCTTTTCTAAGCTATTCTTTCAGAATAGTTTTCCCGGAAATTAGATTCCTTCTCACAATGTCCCTTCTGCAAACAGGTACTCAGATTAAAGAGAAACCGGCGAATAAAGGCAAACGATCGCGAGCGTCACAGAATGCATACTCTGAACGACGCCCTGGAACGTCTGAGGATGGCCCTGCCAACTTTTCCCGAGGACACGAAGCTTACGAAGATTGAGACTCTCCGTTTTGCTCACAACTATATCTGGGCGCTGTCGCAGACTCTGGGCAACGCCGACAGCGGTGAGATCACGGTGAACGTCGGCAATGTTACCGTCAGTATCACCGAGAATGGCAACATGATCACCTCGTCAACCGGAAGCTGCGCGGTCGCAGCCCAGAAGAGGCTCGGACCTCAACATACCGCGGGTTTCCCGTATCCACCTCAGGAGCGATTCGTCGCACCAGAATGGCAAGAATATGATTGCTACAGCGATCAAAGCGTGAGTCCACCGATGCAGTATCAGCCTTGTTATGACCAGAGGATGTATCAGATTCATCGTCCTCAGCATCAACTAACGCCGCCATCTCATCATCATATGCCTCATCACAATATGTATCAGTGTCTTTAGACGTCGAAATGCAGATAAATTTTATTTAATGGTTTAAAAATGGTTTAAACGAGCTGGTTTCTTCAGCGTTGATTATCTTTACTCATAAGATTCAGCTCAATCTCTCTGTCTACGCTGATACAAATAATGGAAAAGACAAGAACGATTATGTCCTGAAAACTTAATCAAAAAATTATCCAGAGAAAGAAATTGAGTATACCTCAATGAAGAATGTTTTTTTTTTCCAAAGAGCTGACGTGATTGTAAAAAGAAAGGACTGTGCTATAATTATCGTTATCTACTTTATAAGAGAGTATTTTATTCGGAAAGAGTATCGGTTTTACTTACAATGTAAATTGATTAGAATGGTTCTTCTTTTAATCTTCTACTTTTAATAATTCTGCTTTTAATCTTCAATAAGTTTTTTTTGCTAATCATTAATCAGAAAGACGGTAAAGCATATAATTAGGACAAAAATAATATTTTTTTAAATATAATGTAAATCAAAGATTGACTTTTGTTTCAAGATTATTTCAAGAGCTTTTTTTATACTAATATTAGAAGTAGTTTAATTTAACGTTTCAACAATGCGGAAAAGAAGAAAAAATGTTGGATTTCTTACATTTTAAATACGATACTAACTGCGTTCCTTTTGTTCTAGTCAGCAATATTTTTAGTTGATCTCGAACGCTCGATCTCATTTTTGTTCAGCATATCTTAAGGTATATTTATATATGAGCTTTTAAGTTAAAAAAAATATATATATATGAAATGCCAATCAGTGCTCTTATTTTAATACGCAACTACTGATTCAGGGAATATATTGTATATAATTTATATCTGATGAATAAAAACATATTTTACTTAAACTTCGTGTCGAGTCACTTTTTCTATCTGCATGTACATATTAATTACATCTATTTATATGTTATTAATTATAATACATTTATGTATAAAATTTTAAAGTAAAATATAAAAGTTTTGATTTTAATTTCATATATATCAATTTAATTTATAAAAAAATATAACATTGTTTATGTGGTTTTTCTTTAGTATTATGTCACTATTTTTTATGAAAGATTGAAAGATCGAAATTAGGATACTTACAGAAATCGCAATTTATAAATCCCGTTCTTCCAACGAAATGTTCTGATCCACTTTATAGGAATGGAATAGTGACTTGAGAATGAACGGGCACGTGCCAGGACACGCGTCCTGCATTGAAACCACTGCAGAGCAGATGTATCACAGATCATGTCTAAAGTTAAATCTACCCATGTAATCCGTGAGATTACATATAAAAGATGACAATGATTCGACTGACTCAATGTGAGTATTGAATAACCAATTTTCACAATTAGCTCGTGATCTTCAAATAAGTTCTCTCATTATTCTTACAATTTCATAACTTCAATTATTTTGTTATATGTTTTCGTTATTTATGTTACAATATTTTAAATAAATAACGAGTAATTATAAGCATAAATAAGGTGTAAAATTTATTTTAAATTATATATGTTAATCGTTTTTTTTTATTTTAAGAACGAGATAAAAATGCTCTGTAACCGATTAAAATAAAGATATAATTAATACAATGATATACAATAATAAAACAACATTTTTATAATAACTAAAAATGTAATAATACCTAAAACTGTAAAAATAGATTTTTGCAATAATTTTCCGTGGTTGTACGCAAATTTTATAGCATTGATTTGAATAACATTCGTTCATTATTATGCAAAAGCATTTTCATAAAGAAAGCAATTTGCACAACGAGAGCAAGTAGGCATCCCCTTTAGCTTGACGGCCAAGTGTTAGCAAAATAAATAGGTAAAATCGATCGTTCGATCAAACGGAGTAAACGGCGACGGAAGATCTGTCAAAACAGTCCTTCGTAGCGTTCAAAATGGAAGGATAATATTTTCCTGTCTAGTCCTTGAGAAAATTTCGCTTCACTTGCGAGACTTACCCGTTCATTGTAATAATATTGATTCATGATTAACTATTGCGATAAATTTTTCAATTAGAAATTACATCATATATTTATTCCTTATTATTTCATTTTTATTGATTATATATTTAATCTTTTATAATTAAATATTTGTTTTGTCAAATTAGCTTATTTTAAGTTTTTAAAAATTATTTTATACAAAACGGAAAAATAACGTTTTCTTCTTTGACTTGAATTTCAAAAATTAAGGCTATTAATTATCACTATTATTTTAATTATTTTTAAATCAGATATTAAAGTTTAGCTCTTATTCAAATAAAGTTCAAAGAATGTATTCTAATGCAGACGCACTGATTCATCAAAACTACTGCTGTGTGAACAATAATTTCCTATACAAGATCTATTTGCAAACAGCGTGCAAGCTGCAACGAATCCGTTAGCACGCTCGAACGTTTCCCCAAATCTCGCCAATAATAGTAATGCCTCAATGGCGCCATTATGCGGACGATATATCAATGTGTGCATAGCACATGACAGACGGCCAGCATCCATAAAGGTGTTGGATTTTGGGGGGTTCAATCAGTTTTTGCCGAGAGCTTACATCCCATTCACATACCTAGTAATTTAAAAAAAAAAAGATAATGTATAAACAGGCGCGACAAAGAGTTCTACCGCTTACTTTGTTACCTTTGTTGCAGAATGCTTTTCGAAAAATATACTGGAACTTCATTTAGGAATTCTTGTCGATTAACTTGGAAATAAATAATTATAATTCGAAATCAGATCGATAAGTCAAGAAGAGAAATGATTCTATTTTCGATCAAAGTAAATCTAAAATATTTAAATTCGATATGAATTTATAAACATATCCACAAAAATGAGTATTTCTTTGGGAAAAAATCGGATGCACCTTTTTTAATACTTTTTTTTTACTAAATATCAAATATCATAAATAATAAAATTTTTTGGCACAGAATATTAGTTATTATAAGTTATTAAAAGTAATCGCATCATTTTCATGTATTCAATTACTTTTTCACCAAACAAATTTTTGTCATTAATTATTATTTATACATGGAAAAAACAGTTTTATTGAAGTATTTAAAAATTCAGTTAGATCTGAAAATGATTTGAACCTTCAAAATAATTATGTATGACTCAAGACGGCTTGCTAGAATATCAAAATTTTTTTTCAACATTGCTCATCATACTTAAGCGTCCTACATAATTATTTTGATAGTCCAAAAATTATTTTCAGATTCGTATCTAGCTAAATCTAGGTATTCCAGGAAAACCATTCTTTTCGTGTAGGAATATAATTTTAATCGTTTATTCCACATTTCGCAAAAGCGAGACATTTTTCTTCCAAAATATATATCAACTTGTGGGTGGGTGGGAAGCAAGCGAGATTCACGGATCAAATTCGTAATGTTATTGTCCGAATATATGATATTTTTTGTTCCTTTTTTTTGCTCATTGTGAAGTCGCGGACATAGTGATTTCATTTCGATCGACCTTCCGTTGAGTCGTTTCCGTCGAGTGCACATATCGATCGCCAGAGTTGGCCCTCATTGTACTGGCGCGCTGGTCTGTACGGTGACATACTGGTAGCTGACAGAGAGACGGTGGTTCCCCTCATGGAAAGAAAGAAAGCGGCACGGTAACGAAGGGAATGAAGCATGGATACCGGGCCACGGTCATCAGGAGGGTGAGACAGCCTTTCCTAATTCAGGAAAACTCGTGAAATTACCTTGACCGATCGTTGAGCACTTAATCGAAGATTAATGGCCGTAGTCTTTGAAGAACGAAGCTCTATGAACGCGATTCGTCCCCGAGTTGAAGATTTAATTCGCTTCACGAGTTGATAGATGTGTCATTCTCGATCGAAACTGCATAGATTAACAAATTCTGCATTGTTTAAATGATCACATTATTATAGATGTGTAATTATTATTAGCGGAAAATACATATTCGAAGGAACTTGTAATTGAATAAATTAAACTGTTAAAATACCAAAAACTATATTTATATAATTAATCTTTCAATGCCACTCCTAGTGACATAAAATATTATGATTCATGTTATTTGTGCAATTATAATTTATTAGTTCTTGTACCCCATTCAGATTTATTTGCAATAACTATAAAATAGTTTATTAACCTATATATAATTCTGCATAAAATTTATATAATTACTCTCTAAAACTTTTAAAGTGAATCTCTGAAGAATAAAATCTCTCGAAAATTGAACTCTTTTTCAAGACTGATTCAATTTTCATTCTTTAGAGTAAGATTTCACTCCAGAAAATTTAGAAAATAATCTACTATGTCTATACATAATAGCTACTATGTGTCTTTTTCTTTAAATATAAAGAGACGATTTTAGTATCTTTAAAAAAGAAAAATGAACGACAGAAATCAGATTCCATAATAAATCTTAAATCGTTAATGTAGTGGAATCAATTTTGGATACTACAATATATATATTTTTTATAAAACAATCTCTTAAAAACAAGAATTTATTTTTATTTCAATGTTTTTTCTTGGAATTTCTGAGGCTTCGATGTACTTATTTGCAGGCGTGCAAACACGTGTACTTATATGTTGGAGGAAAATTCAGTAAGCATCATATTTCCGCATCTGTTTAGATGCGTCGTGCAGGGTAGCCGGTTTTCCATTGCAAGTCGGCATTTGCAGGCCTTTGTGGTAAACCATGACAACAATACTAGTTACACTACCGCGTTGTGCGATACACCACGCTTTCTCTATTCGTGGTGATTCGCTCGTGTTAAAATATGGAAAGCCTTATTTGACCTGCCGCTGATCGGTCGCCCTCTCTTATCCTCGAGATTTACGAAATTAATTAGAATGGACCACGGATTAATGTACCCTCATCTCGCGTGATGCGTTGTCGGATAAATCGGAAATGCCGCGAAATAAAGCATGTATGGATTATTGTGCATTTATGCATTAGCATTACTAAGCTTGACAAGTCGAGATGACTAGAAAAATTAATTGTGATTAATTTTTCTGCGGTTGAAGCATTTATTATATAAATTATTTGTTAA